GCAACTGTTAAACAAAGAAATGATACTCTAGGGAATGAAACGTGATCTGAACGAGAAATTTACGCCCAAGGTAAAGTGTTTGCTAGAAATTGTGTAACATTGGTGAGAAGAATGAGATTAATATTTTAAAATCGTGAAATTGTGGAAAAAAAGGAAGAAAGTTTCATTGACCGACTCTCGTTATCAACAGATTTTCGTGAGTGGACTGGTGACCAGCTCCGACAGCTCGGTTCCTTAGCAAGGGGCCTGGATATAGATGATATTTTGAGCACCAGTAAAGACGCGTTTGAGGATGCCGTGGGAGTCTGGGGCAAGCAGCTTAACATTGATCGAGACAACCTCAAAGCCATGGCAGCGATGGCCAAACGGGTGAATGAATATTTTTTTACAGTTTGACGCGCCAAAGTATTTTCTTTCTAGTTGACCAATCAGATAGCGAGGGGGAACACAGGTAGCCCAAGCGCAGAATTTGTGATGAAGAAAAATGAAAACACTTTTTCATTTGCATCAGTGAGTGCGAAAGGAGATATTGAGGTTAGCCCTATTAGAATTTGCTCTTAAGCGAAGCTGATTCTGTGCAGCAATTCACCTTTTCGGCGCTAGCCGTCACGGAATATAAATTGTTTTAGATTGTGTTACTGTCACCAAAAAGTTCGGACATCGTTCTCGGATTTCCGTACAAATGTACTGACTTTAAATGAACTATTTACTTGGTTTGTTTAGTTAGTTCTCTAAATACAAGTAAAATATCATTTTTCTAACTTGATTGAAGCTTTTCTTATTGCTGTTAAGAGAGCTAACTAAAGAAATCTGTACCTAAATTTTCTCTTTAAACTCAGTGAATTTGTATGGAAATCCGAGAACGATGTCCGAACTTTTTGGTGACACAATCAAGGCTAGCGCCGAAAAGGTGAATCATAAAAAACAACGGTATTTAACGAATGAGAAAAGGGACTATTGGGCTCTGTACTACGCGATCCACTTTTGTTAAACCGCATAAAACATCTGTTTAAAATATTGCGATTCTCTTTGTTTAGCACCTAGTTGGTAGCGATGTTTCAAAAATCACGGCCATGCATTTGAAGAGACTGGGAAGAGTTGTACTGGGGTTCGAGAGTTCTGATCTGGAGAGGCTGAACATTGATAGTGCTGACGTCATTGCTGCTCTTGGGAAGTGGAAGGGATGGACAAATGAACAGGTGAAGTAAATTGTTCCTTCAAAACATGATTATTATCGATACTATAATGGGATTAACAGTGAATTCCACAGAGTGGTTCTTCTTCCGCTGGATTCCAATTGGAATTTACTGGAATTAGACGTTGATTTTTGAGGAGGGAGGAGAACCCGGAAAACCCTCGAAGCACAGGAGAGAACCAACAAACAACTCTACTCACATACAACACCGAGCTCGTCTGCACTCAAACCTGGGTCGCATTGGTGAGAGGCGAGCGCTGTCACCGCTACGCCAACCCATGCTTCCCATATACTCTGGAAAAATATACTCTGGCGCTTCACTGCTTTACATATGAATATTTAACACAAAATAGAAGCTAAATCTGAGCAACAGAGATTTCGGAATTAACTGGAATATTTTAACGTCAATTTTTCTTGATAATGATTTTCTAGCTGGAGGCTTTGAAGCCAAAGATCAAGAAGTTCCTCGCTGATAACAGTGGTAATATTGACTATTTGTACATGAGTTTGGGAGAACTTGGTAAGGCGCTAAGTAAAGTTGATATATCACAGATACCCTCCAAGTCTTTCAAGTAAGTATCGTATCATTTAGTATGGTTGATGGGTTAGATATAGTACAAGTGATTTATTAACCTGTTATAGAATTAAAATTAATGTGGATGTGAGGTAGGGAGGGAGGGATGAACGAACGAACGAACGAACGAACGAACGAACGAACGAACGAACGAATGAATGGATGGATGGATGGATGGATGGATGGATGGATGGATGGATGAATGAATAAATGGATGGATGAACAGACGGACGGACGGAGTGAAGGAAGGAAAAAAAAAGAAAAAGAAAAAGAAAACGTAAGAGAAAGAGGAGTACAGAAAAGAAGAAAGCGAAGCACACCAACTCACATTCTCTCTCCCCAACATTATAGTTTAGCGGTGAAACAACTGGGGGAACTGGAAGGCTGGGACGACGAACAACTGAAAGGACTGATGGACAAAGCAAAAATGAGCTGGACAAAAGGAGCTGAAGAATGGGACAAGGCACGTGTTAGTGAACTGGGATACATACAAAGTAAGTGACATCATGAACAACCTCTAGAACCTTGTCTAATCTATCTGAATTACACTTATTTTTATGATAGCCCAATCCAAAAAAATGCTTGGCTTGTCAAATTTCTAATGGTCAGAGTTTTGGGCTTTGGCGGGGTGCTCATTGTTATAGACCCCTTGCACTGATTCCCGAGAGGAATTGTTCTGGGGAACAAAACAATGGATTTTTTTTGCATCTGATGCAAGGCTAACCCTGAGCAAATGAGTCTGCAATCAAGGAACACAACAGTATTGTATGAAATCGAAAATGGCCTATCTTTATGAGTGGCGGCCATATTTGGTCTAATAATGAAAATAGGTCTAATTAAAATCGTATTGTTTTCTTTAGAGAGCCTGTCTACCGGAGATATTCCGAAACTCGATCCTAAAGTCGTTGATGCAATTAAACCGGAGGTGCTTGGTTCAATGAGTCTTAAACAACTTAAGGTATAGAAATGTTATAATGTTTTTTTTATAAGAGACCTAACCAACTCTACTCACATGTGATGCTCGAGTCACAGAAAGTAAGAGTTAATTACCGAGAACGGAGGCAATAAGCCATATACATCTCGAGGGCCGCAGGCTTATTGCCTCGCTTATTGCCGACGTTCGAGGTAATTAAGTATTTTATTTATCAATTGAGAAGGTTTTCTATCAAATGTTGCTCATTATAAATGCGAACGGTCTATATATAGTTATTAACCGGGTTAATAACTAACTATATATTGACCTTGCATTTATAATGAGGGTTATAACAAAAAAAAAACACAAAAAAAAACCGTGTCAATTGAGAAATAATAGAAAACCGAGACCCCAGAAGCGAGAGGCGAGTTCACTATTGCTGCGTCACCCATTATCAGTTACCCAATAGGCCCTGCAGTTACGTGTCTGTACTGAAGAACGGTTACGTGTCTGTACTGAAGAACGGTTACGTGTCTGTACTGAAGAACGGTATTATTATTGCAAGCTCACCGTTCGTCTCGCTTCGATGCAAAGGAACGGCTACCTTTCAAGATGGCGCAGGGAACCGTGAAGGGGTCTATTGGATTTGTATACGTATGACTGACTAAGTGTACGTTCTTCGTTTTTTTATAGTCTTTCACGGCAGAACAGTACCGAGCCATGGAGACGTCCCAAGTTCAAGCTATAAGTAGGTCTAAGTTCAGCATGTTAACCGCTGATCAGAAAGCTGCGATCGAGGGCGTCAAAAGTGATGACCCTATTGAAGAAGATCCTTGGGGACCAGATTGTGCAGGTTTGTGGATTGTGGGATACCTGTGTTGTTAGAGAAACCATTTTAGCACTCGTTCACATAGTGCAAAAGGACCTTTGGGTGTTATAAAAACTATAGAATGAATCTATTAAATTATTCGCCGAAGGCGAAGTAAACATCGGGGAATATTTACCGAGACGCGGGTCTTCAAGCGGCGAGGTAAATATTCTCCGATATTCACTGAGGCTAAAGCAAAAAATTGTTTTAGTATAAATACACAGGTGATTCTTTCAAAAGAAAAAGACCCCTGTGTTGAGAACCGTGGCTTGACAAGTCTATTCTTGTTTTACAGGTACTTGCTCCGGGGCTTCTCACGTGACTGTTAGCCTTCTGAGCATGCTGGGAATATTTGTTGCTGCTGTCTACATCAGTCACTAATGACGTCACCCCTAATGACGTAAGACCTTAGAACATGGATATGACGTAATTCGTCTTTATGATAGTGTATCATAATTATTAGGAATCACTGCATATATGATTTTTAGAAGTTTTTTGCATTGGCTCAATTCCTGCGTGTAGATTGCTAGCTCATTAGCTGAATCGCAAGTTTTTATGATAGAATTCTCTCTGGTTGACATCACATTGTGGTCAGTATTTCATCCTCACTGCATACTTATTACCGAGTCACGGGAATTAAGATATGGAAGGTGACCGCGACTGCTGGCAATGAGCATGCGAAAAGAATGCGATGCGTCGTCAACCGCCACCAGGGGAGGTGGGTGGGGTGAATCTTCTACTCTCTCCTTTGGCAGCTTCCGACGGAATGATTCAAGGATCTGGGTGTGGCGCTTATATATGGAGGGGTCGCAAAGCATTACACCTGCACTGCGCAAACTCCAATGTCCATATATGGGGGGTTGCTAAATTCCTACGTGACACGCTTATTATGTATGCAGTGAAAATAGTGTTTGACCACCATTTGGAGCAGATAATGAGATTCAAAGACTTTTATCAGCTGATTAAAACCCAGCAATAGTTCCCTCCACAGTTCCCTGCGCCATCTTGAAAGGTAATGATAGAGACCTTTTTTAACACCTTRGACAACTATTCACAGGTCCCTATCATTGCAAGCTCACCGTTCGTCTCGCTTCGATGCAAAGGCACGGCTACCTTTCAAGATGGCGCAGGGAACTGTGAAGGGGACTATTCTTAGTCTGAGGTTCTGGTTGACAGCACATGGTGGTCAGTGTTTGACCACCATTTGGAGCAGATAATGAGATTCAAAGACTTTATCAACTGATTGAAACCCAACAATTCTTTCTGGTTAACAACACATGGTGGTCAGTGTTTGACCATCATTTGCAGCAGATAATGAGATTCAAAGACTTTTATCAGCTGATTGAAAGCCAGCAATATCTAACAATTATTCGCCGTACAATTATTCGCTGCTGATCGTTTTTGATCTTTGCCTCTTATAACCACATAGAATACATTCTCATCGTTCTTAGTATCCTATTTATTATAATTATTTTATTTTGAATGAACAAGATTTATTAAGAATATATATTTTAGTAAAAAAACACCGAACTAGGAAGTGACAATAAACTAGAATTACAAAACTATGACTGAAATTTTAATATCTTTTTCCTCAGGATGTTTTTTCAGAGCTGTGCGCGAACTCACTCAATTCCTAGACATTAGATTAAAAGATTAACATTTCAACGGTAAAAAAAAAAAAAAGAAAAGAAAGAAAGAAAGAAAGAAAGAAAAATGGACGTCTTTGCCTGGGCGCAATGTTTTCTCATTTCAGACCGCGTGTCATGTATCATTTCTTTAACGGTTACATATGAGAAGACACATGAATATGAATACAACTCRAACAAAGAATCTTATTCTCAAGACCATGTGTCATTCCCTAGAGTATTATTTCTTTGTTTAACGGTTGTACATGAGAAGACACATGAATATGAATACAACTCAAACAAAGAATCTTATTCTCAAGACCACGTGTCATTCCCTAGAGTATCATTTCTTTGTTTAACGGTTACGTTTGAGAAGACACATGAATATGGATACAACTCAAACAAAGAATCTTATTCTCAAGAGAATGACACGTGGTCTGGAATGGGAAAACGATGCACCCAAGGTAATTAAAGATGTCATTGATTCTTATTCGTACGATTTCAAAATGGTCCCCATTCTCGACTTTCACATCCCCATAATGCCTTGCGTCTTTGGGGGTAACCAATCAAAAAACTGTCCCAAATTGAAAGGTTTCTTA